CGATGTACGGGTTCATTGCTGGTCCGAAAGTGGAGAATATACAACATAGCATATACAGTGCAGAGGGCAGTAATATAAGCTACAACTTAATGTATACTGTGCAAGGGTCAGAACTATAAACAACACAGCATATTCAGTTTGGGGTTCAGTAATTTTATCTCATGCCTCCCTTTCACCAGTTCCACTGCCAGTACTCACCTACTCCTGTTCCAGATCAGGATCCAGTTAGCTCCCTAAGGAAGCATGTCATGTCCTCTCTTCTTCTCTTCCCTCCACTTCCTTCCAATGAATAATCCACCCTGGCTCATTAATTTGCAGATCCTACCATCATCAATATGTAAATACTGTATTGATTTGCATATGAATGACCGGTTGGTACTATGGGGCTATGATTAGATGCTTAATGGCAGGAAAGAAATGTGACAGATGAAGGGGTGTGATTAGACAGCAATGCTGGGTGATGTGGTCTAGAGCTTTTGATCATGGGACAGCATTACTCAGGTGAAAATGGCAAACAGTTCTGTACAATCCAGGCCTGTTCAGAGGTATGCATTTGGCTGCTTACCCATGCTGTAATAGTAACAATATATGAAAAATATAAAAACCTTTTGTTACATTTGTTTCGGTTTTTACTCTCAAGAACTCCTATACATTTTATGATAATTCTGTAATAATCCCCTCTATTTTTGTTTTACTTTGATAATTTTCTTAGAAATATATTTTCTTGTTATTGTGACATAATGCAAAAGTTGATCTTAACAAACAAACCTACAGGCATCTCTGAAACTGGGCTTGTAAAGTTATGCACTGTGATGACCATGTGTTGTGAACGGTGCCTGAAGAAGGTGTTAAATTCTGCAAGACAAGACAAACTCCAAAAGATAATTTCAGATTTCCTGTGATTCATCATTATAAAATCAGTATTAAGACCAAACTTCAAGAAAAACTAAGCATATAAGCAATTTAAATACTGAAATGGATAAATACTAGTGCCTGTCTTTTAATTTATAACAAATGCACAGACATTTGTTTGAAGAATAGTTATAGCACACCTTTTATATCAGAAAAATAATGTAGCACTTCCTTATAACATAAATTCAATAAAGATTACATATGGAAAATCCATGAATTAATAAAGAGAGCAAAATCTGGTGCATCTCTGCATAGAAACCAATCAGCTTCAAGGTTTTTTGTTCAAAGCCGGAATGAACAAGCTGAAGTTAGAAGCTGATTGGCTACCATACAGAGCTGCACCAGATTTTGCACCCTTCAGTTTTAGTAAATCAACCCGCTTGTGTGAAATCTCTACCAAGAAGGGAATTACTTTTTTTGCGATATAAATGAAAAAAGAACAAATTTTTTTTAAAAAAAACTGTATTTTCCACTGTTATAACAAATGACCAATAAACTCAAATTTAGTCATACATTTAGGCCAAAATGTATTTTGCCACATGTCTTTGGTAAATAAAATCACAATACATGTATATTAATTAGTTTGTGTGAAAGTCATAGCATCTACAAACTATGGTGTGTGTGTATATATATATATATATAAATAAATATATATATATATATATATATATATATATATATATATATATATATATATAAAAATAGTTAGGTCCATATATATTTGGACACAGGCACTATTTTAGTTTTTTTTCAGGTATTTTACCAAAACATGTTCAGGCTATAGTTCTATAGTTATATAATAGATATGGGCTGAAAGTGCACACTCTCAGGTTTAATTTGAGGGTATGTACGTCCAACTTGGAGGAAAAGTTTAGGAATTACAGCTCTTAAGAATAGCCATTCCCCCTTTTTCAGAGAACCAAAAGTAATTGGACATTTGAATATAAGTAAAATGCTACTTTTTAATATTTTGTTGAAAATCCTTTACTGGCAATGACTGCCTGAAGTCTGGAACCCATGGACATTACCAAAGACTGGGTTTCCTCCTTTCTGATGCTTTGCCAGGCTCTAACTGCAGCTGTCTTCAGTTGTTCTTTGTTTGTGGGTCTTTCTGCCTTTAGTTTTGCCTTCAGGAAGTGAAATGCATGCTCAATTGGGTTGAGATCGGGCGGTTGCACAATATTCCACTTCTTTTCCTTCAAAAGCTCCTGGATTGCTTTTGCAGTGTATTTTGGATCATTGTCCATGTATGTATCCATAGTAAGGGGATACCACATGCGTGAGGCTTTTTTTGGGAGCCTAGCTGCATACGGGTCCTGAAAAGCAATGACCATCATCAGGCTTTCAAAGGGCATAATTTCCTCATTTCACTTCCCCAGTACCTATTACAGTTTCAGAAGCCCTGAAATTCCAGGGTAGTACACCCCCCCCAATATAAATAGTATCTTTTCAATGCTCCCTCATACCCACTAGTAAAAATTAAACACCCAAATCAAGAAAAAAATGTCCACATATAAGTCCAAAATGTATAGAGTCAAAATAAAATAAAATAAAATAAATGTCCAAAAAAAATAGCAATGCTTTCCAATAATTAGTGCTTTTCAGACGTTTTAAGAAACAGTCCCCTTTGCCGAATTCCAATCCAGGACCTCAAATTCAGAATACCTCAAAAAAATATAAAACTCAATATAGTGTATTATCATTACAATAAAGAAAAACACTCGTGAAGACTAAAAGTGATTCCTCCAGGGCTATCACCCGTGGTGAACAACACTCCAAAAGTGATAAAGTGCAGCACTCCACACTAGTGTTACCATCCAAATGGGCTAATACCATTACCCTCTAAGAAAATATATAGTGTCATCTCTCTTGTGAGAATAAAAACTATTACCCTCTTGCAATGTAGGCCAAGCAAAATTCCTTCCAAACAGACCAGAGTTTACCCTCTTCAGAGGCTTCTATTTTCTCCCAATCCTTCTTCCCAGTTCCTCAAACAGGGGGGCAGATAGTACACAACTCAGTGAAGTATATATAAAAGGATTCACAATTTATTACAATCTTACATTGAAAACGCCAACGTCCATCCTCTCTCACAGTCCATAACTATGAATTCCAGTGTTCAAGATGGCCGTGCCGCTACTTCCGGTTTGAAATCGTATAGTACGTCCTTACGTCCTTGACGCGTTTCGTCACTTCCGACTTGTTCACAAGGGTGACCCTTGTGAACAAGTCGGAAGTGACGAAACGCGTCAAGGACGTAAGGACGTACTATACGATTTCAAACCGGAAGTAGCGGCACGGCCATCTTGAACACTGGAATTCATAGTTATGGACTGTGAGAGAGGATGGACGTTGGCGTTTTCAATGTAAGATTGTAATAAATTGGGAATCCTTTTATATATACTTCACTGAGTTGTGTACTATCTGCCCCCCTGTTTGAGGAACTGGGAAGAAGGATTGGGAGAAAATAGAAGCCTCTGAAGAGGGTAAACTCTGGTCTGTTTGGAAGGAATTTTGCTTGGCCTACATTGCAAGAGGGTAATAGTTTTTATTCTCACAAGAGAGATGACACTATATATTTTCTTAGAGGGTAATGGTATTAGCCCATTTGGATGGTAACACTAGTGTGGAGTGCTGCACTTTATCACTTTTGGAGTGTTGTTCACCACGGGTGATAGCCCTGGAGGAATCACTTTTAGTCTTCACGAGTGTTTTTCTTTATTGTAATGATAATACACTATATTGAGTTTTATATTTTTTTGAGGTATTCTGAATTTGAGGTCCTGGATTGGAATTCGGCAAAGGGGACTGTTTCTTAAAACGTCTGAAAAGCACTAATTATTGGAAAGCATTGCTATTTTTTTTGGACATTTATTTTTATTTTATTTTATTTTGACTCTATACATTTTGGACTTATATGTGGACATTTTTTTTCTTGATTTGGGTGTTTAATTTTTACTAGTGGGTATGAGGGAGCATTGAAAAGATACTATTTATATTGTGTTTGCACTTTCAAGGGTGAGAGTGATACTTTTCATGAGGGAAATTTAGAGTCTGTATATATACACCCCCCCCAATGACCCCTTTTTGGAAAGTAGACAACCAAAGCTATTTGCTGAGGGGCAATGGTGATTAGCAAATATCATTTTTTTTTTCAAAAGGCTTTGAAAAAGAAAACAAAAGAAAAGAAAAAATACATTTTTGTTTTATTTCATTTTCCGAAACCTTGTGGCAACAACTGAGATCCTGCAAAATCTGTCATGCTTCCTTCAATTCCTTGGAGTGTCTACTTTCCAAAATGGAGTCATTTGGGGGTGGTGTTTGTACTATCCTGGTATTTTAGGGCCTCTGAAACTGTGATAGGTATTCAGGAAGTGTACTGAGGAAATACCGTATTTGCCGGCGTATAAGACGACTGGGCGTATAAGACGACCCCCTACTTTTCCTGCTAAAATGTAGTGTTTGGGCTATACTCGCCGTATAAGACTACCCCTCTTCCAATGCACACCAGTGGGAGGAATAGTGCCCCATCATTGGTATCAGTGGCAGGAATAGTGCCCCATCATTGGTATCAGTGGGAGGAATAGTGCCCATCATTGGTATCAGTGGCAGGAATAGTGCCCCATCATTGGTATCAGTGGGAGGAATAGTGCCCATCATTGGTATCAGTGGAGGAATAGTGCCCCATCATATCAGTGGGGGGAATAGTGCCCATCATTGGTATCAGTGGCAGGAATAGTGCCCATCATTGGTGTCAGTGGGAGGAATAGTGCTCCATCATTGTGCAGTGGGGGGAATAGTGCCATCATTGGTGTCAGTGGGGGGAATAGTGCCCCATCATTGTGTCAGTGGGAGGAGGAATAGTGTCCCCAACATTGGTGTCAGTGGGAGGAATAGTGTCCCAACATTGGTGTCAGGGGAGGAATGGTGTCCCATCATTGGTATCAGTGGCAGGAATAGTGCCCCATCATTGCGTGTCAGTGGGAGGAATAGTGCTCCATCATTGGTGTCAGTGGGGGGAATAGTGCCCCATCATTGGTGTCAGTGGGAGGAATAGTATCCCAACATTGGTGTCAGTGGGAGGAATAGTGTCCCAACATTGGTGTCAGTGGGAGGAATAGGTGTCCCATCATTGGTATCAGTGGCAGGAATAGTGCCCCATCATTGGTGTCAGTGGGAGGAATAGTGCTCCATCATTGGTGTCAGTGGGAGGAATAGTGCTCCATCATTGGTGTCAGTGGGGGGAATAGTGTCTCATCATTGGTGTCAGTGGGAGGAATAGTGCCCCAACAGTGGTGTCATCATTGGGAGGAATAGTGCCCCATCATTGGTGTCAGTGGGAGGAATAGTGCCCCATCATTGGTGTCAGTGGGGGAATAGTGCCATCATTGGTGGTGCCCAATCATTGGTGTCAGTGGGAAGAATAGTGTCCCAACATTGGTGTCAGTGGGAGGAATAGTGCCCCATCATTGGTATCAGTGGGGGAATAGTGCCCCATCATTGGTGTCAGTGGGGGAATAGTGCCCCATCATTGGTGTCAGTGGGAGGGAATAGTGCCCCATCATTGGTGTCAGTGGGGGGAATAGTGCCCATCATTGGTGTCAGTGGGAGGAATAGTGCCCATCATTGGTATCAGTGGCAGGAATAGTGCCCCCATCATTGGTGTCAGTGGGAGGAATAGTGCCCATCATTGGTGTCAGTGGGAGGAATAGTGCCCATCATTGGTGTCAGTGGGAGGAATAGTGCCCCATCATTGGTGTCAGTGGGAGGAATAGTGTCCCAACATTGGTGTCAGTGGGAGGAATAGTGTCCCATATTGTGTCATTGGTGTCAGTGGGAGGAATGGTGTCCCATTGGTGTCAGTCATTGGTATCAGTGGCAGGAATAGTGCCCCATCATTGGTGTCAGTGGGAGGAATAGTGCTCCATCATTGGTGTCAGTGGGGGGAATAGTGCCCCATCATTGGTGTCAGTGGGAGGAATAGTGTCCCATCATTGGTGTCAGTGGGAGGAATAGTGCCCCATCATTGGTATCAGTAGGAGGAATAGTGTCCCATCATTGGTGTCAGTGGGAGGAATAGTGCCCCATCATTGGTATCAGTGCCAGGAATAGTGCCCATCATTGGTATCAGTGGCAGGAATAGTGCCCCATCATTGGTGTCAGTGGGAGGAATAGTGCTCCATCATTGGTGTCAGTGGGGGGAATAGTGCCCCATCATTGGTGTCAGTGGGGGAATAGTGCCCCATCATTGGTGTCAGTGGGAGGAATAGTGTCCCAACATTGGTGTCAGTGGGAGGAATGGTGTCCCATCATTGGTGTCAGTGGGGGGTGGAATAGTGCCCCATCATTGGTGTCAGTGGGGGGTGGAATAGTGCCCCATCATTGGTGTCAGTGGGGGGTGGAATAGTGCCCCATCATTGGTGTCAGTGGGGGGGGGGAATAGTGCCCCATCGTTGGTGTCAGTGGGAGGAATAGTGCCCCATCATTGGTGTCAGTGGGAGGAATAGTGCTCCATCATTGGTATCAGTGACACCAATGATGGGGCACTATTCCTCCCACTGACACTTGCTGACCCTGTTCTCGTATGGTGCTGCTGCAGCCAGCATATGTGGTTGCAGCAGCACCTCTACACTGAACACTTACCTGCTGGTCCTGCACTCAATTTTCGCGGGGCCGCTCGGCTCCGCCCCCTCGCCAGTGATTGGCCGCCTGTGTGCCTTTCCTGAGCTACAGTTCTGGCGGCCAATCACCGGTGAGGAGGCGGAGCCGAGCAGCCGCGCGAACATCCAGTGGCCGAACTGAAGGAGCAGCCGCGCTTCCTGGACCGGATCGTCGTGGGACCGGAGCCAGGTAAGAAACAGCCCCTGTCCACCCCTGTACTTAGTGTCCCTTCCGTTGGAAGGGGGGGGCGGCGGCGGCACCGTGCCGCCCCTCCTAAAAAGTGTCAGTATGCCGTATACCGCCGTATAAGACGACCCCCGACTTTTGAGAAGATTTTCAAGGGGTAAAAAGTCGTCTTATACGCCGGCAAATACGGTAATGTCTTTTAAAAGCCTAAAAGTGCTTATTGGATTTTGGGGTCCTGTACGTGGCTAGACTAAAAAAAAAAGCCTCTCATATGTGGTAGAAAGAAGTAGCAGAATGTGTTCGGGATGTAACTCCATATATCCAAGGCAAGTGTGAGAAATATATTAATAACGTGACAACTTTGTGTAAAAAAAATAAAAAATTTTGGGACACGATGACGAATTTCCAGTACGTGGTGATGTCATTTCCGGCGTGGGCGCCATTTTGGTACACCAAAAATACCCATGCAGTACACCCATAGCATGAGGTGAAAAAGCTGTGTTCTATGGAGGATATGTGAGTGGGCAATTGGCATTTTTAATGTTTGTGGTTAAATAAACATGATTACACTGTGGAGGATCTTTCTGTTTTGTTAATATGATCCTTTATGGGAGACTGAGCTGTATTGCAAGTGTATGATCCAAACGCACACGTTCCTGCATTAAAAATGGTTGTGTGTATAAGTGGGTGCTGCAGTGACCGTCGGCTGGAACCGAACAAAATCAGCAAGGAAAAAATGTCACCAGCACACCGAGGATCACCAATATGGGTCCAAAGGTTTTAATAAACCATCACATAGTTACAGCAAGGCAACGTTTCGGAGTCTCGCAGGACCCCTTCATCAGGCATGTGACAAATTGTGATAGAAACTGGAGAACTATTTAAGAAAACCATCCACCAATCAGAGTGAAGTGAAATGAGCTTGGCCCCACCCCATGATGTCATGTTCCCTCCAAAAATGTATTCAAATCAATGTAAACAGAAACACAATACAAACTGCAAAAATAAATAAAACAATAATCAGATGTACATAAACTGCATTCCTGGGGATATAAACATTGTGGTCACATGTGTATCATGGTACTCCCCGGATCGTAATAAAGTGTCAGCTGAAAGCAGCGCTGGGTTCTGGAAACAACGACCAGCAGCATATATGTCCTTGACAGAAGATAAAGACTGTTACCTAGAAATATGGGAGGGTCGTCTCCGATTGCCAAGTAAGCTGCAATGGGGACACACCTACAGTGGTCCTATTAGTGCAGTGGCCGACAGTTTCATAGCGACGCATGTCACCTGCATGCACCATGAGAGTTTACTACTCACACATGTGCTCAAAGACATTCCTACATCGGTCGCCATCATCATGGAAACCCATGATGTCGGCGCCGGGAAGGACAAGGCGGAGGCAAGTCGCCAGCGTCATAGAAACATATGGCGCTGACGCCACACAAACCAGTGGGTGGGCAGGGTTGCAGAGATGAGCTGTGAAGAAAAAAGAACACAAAGAAAACAGATTGAGGGCTAGTTCACACCACATGCATTTCAGTTACTTTTCATGTGCATCCAAAGATAAAGTACTATACTATACATGGTTGCCAATGTCATAGTTCACATCAGTGTTCGTAGTTCCAGTGCGTTCCAGCTGCAGATAAAAAGCAGAACACGCCGCATCTAGAAATGATGATATCAAGTTACCCGAATATTTAACAGAATCCCAGGTTTGTAAACTGTGAAGTATGATAGGGCTCAGGTCCGGAGGGCGCAACTTGGAGGGAGCCACAGCAATGTAGTTAAGGAAAGCGGAGCACAGTTCGGTAATTTCAAGAATACCCATAATGTGATATCCGTTGTGGCATGAAGCCAATCCATGATAAAGAAGGAAACTGCCAAGAATGAAGCAGGGAAGTAACAGATCGCAGTAAGGGGTAATAATTAGCCGAAAATAAGGCAGAGTAGGAGGAAGTAAGTGTAACGCCAAGATAAGCCAGAGAATGGGAAGCCCAACGGTATGGAAATTGCGCCTGGAATCGTTCAACCAGGTCGGCAGGGAGTGTAATATTCAATGCCGTGGTTTTGGACAAGTTAATGCTAAGGCCACATATTGCTGAACATTGATCCAGTTTTCCCTGAAGATTGGGGAGAGTGATGAGAGGATTGGTTAACAGAGGATATCGTCCGCATAAAAGTTTGCCTTATACTAAGATCCTGCATAAGGGACACCAGATATATCCGGATTATTTTGAATGGCTGCATGGCTGCAGCTACAGGTTCGAGGACAAGAACAAAAAGGGCAGGTGACAGTGGGCATCCCTGTCTCATGCCTCGGAAAATATCAGGAAAGATGAGGAAAAAAAGCCTGGTATCTGACAGAGGCCAAGGGAAACGAGTATAAAGCAGAGATCCATGCTATAAAAGCATCTCCAAACCCCCATCTAGATAGCGTGTAGGTCAAATACTCCCAAGAAAGTGAATTGAAAGCTTTATATATATCCAAGGATAAAAGGAAATCCGGTATACTGCCGTGATGTAAGATAAGAATTGGATGGATGACCTTATGTATGTTATCTGCAGCCTGTCTTCCTGGAACAAAACCAGCCTGATTCCTGTGTAGGAGTGAGAGTAAATATTTATTAATGCGGGTGCTCAATACCTTTCCCAGAATTTTCAAATCCACATTTAACAAAGAGATCGGTCTAAAAGCTTGCGGTTCAAAAGCATCTTTGGAAGTCTTGGGGATTATAGTAATGTGCGCTTTCAGAGACTCCAGGGAAAGCCGGGAGCCCTGCTTAAAAGAATTGAAGAAGGCTGCCAAATGAGGAGCCAGAAGAGTAGCACATTTTTTATAGTAGAGCCCAGAGAACCCATCAGGACCTGGAGCCCTGGAGGGCTTCAAAGATTTGATAGCTTGATAGATTTTAGTTTCTGAGATATCTGTGTTCAGGGCATCAGATAGCAGATAAGGAGGGTAGGCGCAGATTGGTGAAGAAACTATCAGCATGTTCTGCAATAAAGGCGTTTGGTTTCTTGTACAGGGAGGACAAGAAATCTGCAAATCTGTGTATAATCTTCACTGGGTCAGAGGTAAGGCCACTGCCCCGTACTTGGAGTTGAACAGGGTTATACGTGCAACCCATCAAATTAAGTTTCTTGGCCAACAATGGCCCGGTTCTTTAATTTATTTTATCACTTTTTTGTTATCACAGGGAATGTAAATATCCACTATGGTAGCAATAGGCAGTGACAGGTACTCTTAGAAAATCTGAGAAATCTGGGGTCTATTAAACTTTCCCCTACCCTTAAAGCATTTGATCTCACCAAGATTATTGTGATCAGATGATTTCCCAATTTAAAAATAGTGCTGCTTATATCTGTGATGAAATGCTCAAAGCATCTGGTTTCTAAGATCATAGTGATACTTAGAGCCATTCCTGTCTTTGATCTGCTTTCTGCATTCTTGGGTTCCCCGGTTGGACGGCAGAGAAAGCCATGGAAGGTGGCGGGAGGAGGGTGGTCCCCTCCCACTGCTTGTAAAAGCAATCCAGCAGCTAATTAGCCACTAGGATTGTTTTTACATGAAAACGACCGCTGGCTGAAAAAAACAATACTAGGATGATGCGTGCACCTAAAGGAATCATCCCTGTATAACCACTCAAAGTCCAGTGACGTACCAGTATGCTGCTGGTCCTTGTTGGGCATATAAGTAATGTTCTTTTTTTCTCATGCAGCCTGTGGACTGAACAAAAAAAGAGAACCTAACCAATTCCTCCATTCACATAGATCAATGTGGATGAA